TTTTTCCCCCTAAGCATAGTGAAACAGTTATACCACTTTTTTTCTTCTTCATATTCCATAATGTCCAAAGACCGGAATATCTGATACTTAAGAAAAAGAAGAGATAAGTTAACAATGGGAATTACCTAAACTAGAGGTTTTATCTACCTATTTTATGAGATTAGTAACTATGGTAGTACAGATGTAAGACAGAGAAGGGGTACCTCCAAAATGAGCAGTGTGGTAACGGCAAGCACGGGGGTGATTGAGCAAAGGGTCAAACTGGGTCTTGCAATTCTTGCACGTCCGGAGATTCTGTGTTTGTTTCTCAGAGCATTGAACTAACAATCTTGTGGTCCGCCTTTTACCCAAATCAAGACTCGGAAGGGACCTAAATAATGGAAGAATGGTGGTTCGATTTCGATGAGTTATGGAAGAATTTGCATACGGGATTCCATGATTTGGACATAATTGCGTGGCCATGGACATGGAGCTGTAACGAAAATGGATTTTAGCAGGGAGACCAGGGGTAAGATATCAGGCTATAACTGACAGGCGACAGCAGGGTGGTAGTTTGGTGTTATGTTAAATTTGGGCAAATTAAAACGGATGAAATCCATAAATTATGATGATTTAACTATTATAAAGTTTTTTTTTAAAAATCAAATTTCAAAAGTCTTTTTATATTTTTTAAATTTCATGATCAGCCTGTATACGACCAAAATCGGAGAGTTCTACTTTGGGGCTACTGTGGCACCCCACGCCCGACCTCGAGAAGCTCGAAGCAGAATTTGAAGTGTGACCCCGAGGTTCACTGTGGTCAAATCGATGATCGTCATGGAAAGGCGGAAAAATTCCCGAGGGCACGTGATTAGAACTGACAGAGTCTGCTAGAAATAGTACAAATCCGTACCAAGCCATTATACAACTGTACCAATAGCATTTCCTCGTCATTATTAGACATGTACTATGTTGGGATTCTCCCCTCTATATAAAGGGGATCCTTGCCATTTTGTAACACATGAATATTCAATACAATAGAACATTCTCTGCTTTTCTTGCCTAGACGTGTTCGACAATTACTCTACAGATTCATTGCTTGTTCATTTATTGTTCATTTATTGTTCTTCATTTATTGCATATTATAAACCGCAAAAGGCTATCTTTGAGGCCTTCGTTATCATTATTTCTTCATCGATTGTTCATTGCTAACTGCCCTAACTAGACCTCGAAGCCCCATGTTCCAGCTAGCTCGAGGCCCAATCTTGCGACAGCATTAGTTTGCATATCTTATTCTCTTTACTTACACTTAGCATCTACTACCAAACAACCAGTATTGAAATAAATCACATATTTTTAGAACCACAAAATCAAATATAATTGTTAATACCATTTTCAAGGTAAACAGTTTGGCGGCCACCATGGGGCTAAAATAATAATGATTGTTTTGGTGCTAGTTTTCTGAAAACACAAGTTATTCTTCACACTTTTTCTTGTCCAAGAATCTTTGATTTCAGGTAAAAAAAAAATGTCTAACTCAACAAATGCACACGAAAACAACGGTATTGGCCTTCATGGAGAGAACGGTGCAGATGTCGGTGTACCACCGCAAAACCTAGGGTTGGCACCAACACAAATCCCCGTCGACTTGGGCTCACGCAACGCTGTGAATGTCGATGTAAACTCTCATACCGACGGAAGTGTGCACGGGGAAAACCAACATGAAGCACAGGGGACTCCAGCTCGGGAGGAAAGAGAAGTTAGCCTTCAAGTCATTTTTGAGATGTTGCAAGCACAACAAGTGGCTATTGCTCAGCTACAAAGTCAACAAAAAACTCCAAGCACAGCAGCACCGGAAACGGCTCCTCGAGTCGAGCAGGCACCAGAGAGATCGAGTAACAACGGGTCAGCTGCAGACCCCGCTATTATGAAGATGCTCGAGGACCTCACCAAAAGGACTGAATCAGGAGAAAAGAAGATAGAGGCTAATGATAAAAAGGTGGAGACATATAACTCGAGGGTCGATCAGATGCCGGGCGCACCCCCAATTTTGAAGGGTGTAGATTCAAAGAAGTTCGTACAGAAACCATTCCCACCAAGTGCGGCTTCGAAGCCCATCCCGAAGAAATTCAGAATGCCCGATGTACCGAAGTATAACGGGACCACGGATCCCAATGAACACATTACCCCTTATACTTGTGCTGTAAAAGGGAATGACTTAAAGGATGACGAAATTGAGTCCGTCTTGTTGAAGAAATTTGGAGAAACATTGTCAAAGGGGGCTATGATGTCGTATCATAACCTACCCCCGAATTCAATAGATTCATTTTCCATGTTCGCAGACTCTTTTGTGAGGGCACACGCTGGTGCCATCAAGGTCGCCACCAGGAAGTCCGATGTCTTCAAAATCAAACATAGAGAAAACGAGATGCTAAGGGAATTTGTATCTCGCTTTCAGATGGAGCGAATGGAATTACCATCAGTCTCCGATGACTGGGCAGTACAGGCTTTTACTCAGGGCTTGAACGAACGAAGCTCGATAGCTTCGAAGCAGCTAAAACAAAATTTTATCGAATATCCTGCCGTGACCTGGGCAGATGTGCACAACAGGTATCAATCGAAGATCAAGGTCGAAGATGACCAATTAGGAGCCCCCTCGGGCTCAGTATATCCTAGCAGGCTCTTAACAAAGGAACAAAGGTTTACAGAAAGGAAATCGAGACCAAACAAAGAAAGATACCAGCCGTATGTAGAAGATCGAAGAAACGCCCCAAGGCGTAATACAACTCGAGGCGATCGAAGGACAGATCGAGGTCCAAGTTCCCGGGGACTCATGAGTAAAGCCGGGTTAGATAGGCACACTGGGCCGGTAGAGGCACCCCGGCTATCTGAGTACAACTTCAACGTCGATGTCTTGGACATCGTATCGGCCATAGGTAAAATCAAAGATACCAGGTGGCCAAAACCCATACTATCAGATCCTTCATAGAGGAACCCTAACTTGGTATGCAAATATCACGACACTCACGGTCATTAGACCGAGGATTACAGACAGCTACGAGAAGAGGTAGCCCGACTGATCAGCGAAGGGCACCTTCGAGAGTTCCTCAGCGACCGAGCTAAAAACCAATTTCGGGAAAGAGAGGCGAACAGGAAGAATGAACTAGAAGAACCACAACACGTCATCCACATGATCATTGGATGGGTCGATGCCCCACAGGGACCCGTTGTCAAGCGGACGAAAATATCCATTACCAGGGAAAAGCGAACTCGGAGTTACATACCAGAGGATGCTCTCACATTCAGCGAAGAGGACATCGAGACCTTGTCTTAGCCTCATAATGGCGCACTGGTAATTTCTTTTTTTTTTTTTGAATAAATTTCAAATTAAACGTGTGCTCGTGGATCTAGGTAGCTCGGCCAACATAATTAGGTCGAGGTGGTGGAGCAGCTCGGGCTGCTCC